CGCGATATGGTAGTAAACATGAACACATCACCACACATTACTACGTTAATATCGCACGCATACATACTCACAAATCATCGATAAAACAGCGAATTTTTGGAGTTTGATCTCGGGTTTAGGATCCCCTTAAGGCGATGCTGGAATACCGACATTTGCAGTTGGAACGATAACTTCGAAAATACTGAACGGAATTAAAATTGCTTTTGCAAGATTGAAATAGACATAAAATGTAAGGGAGCGAGCTATTTTTTTGTAATAAAAACGACAAAAAATTAAAAATTATCTTTTTTTGGGTCGTACAGCTATCGTAACCTATCATACCTGACGTAAACATTTCATTGGTATAAAAGTTCTGTAGCTCATATGTACAAAATAAGTAGCTCGCCCCCTTCAGATTACAGGAACAAGTAATACAAGACTTTTTGAGCTACGATTGAAAGCGTAGAAAAAGGTTTAACTGCACGTTCCAACTGCAATTTATGGTAATTTGCACGCTTAGCTAAGGTAAAGACAGCAAAAATTGCATCTAGCAATAAGTGCTGGATTTTGCAACAGATGGCATTTTAATAAGTTAGATAAGGACATTGGACGTGTTTGAGTGAGACAAAAGATATTGTATGAAATTCATTTAGAGATACCACTGACACCGAAGAGTTTGTTTTATCGACTTCGTGCAAATTTTTTTGACCTTCCGGCATCGCCTTAATGAGTTCAGCATCGACAATGAATATTAGTTTAGAAAAATTTAAAATTTGTAATTTTATTTCTTTTTCCCTGTAATGTTGATTGAAAAGAGAGAACTATATACAGATGTATATATGTATTATATATAACTTGCAGTTTTTACAATAATAATGCATCGTCTGTGTAGGGTTCCATGACTAATAATCGCAATGTGTCTATACAGTTATAAAATTTTTAGCACCGCCAAAACGACAAAACCAAAATGGCACACTAGTCAAATTTTGCGCTCCTGTTATTTATTTTGCTTAAAGAAAAAATCAAAAATGCCTCATTTTTACATGATTACTATCTTACTTACCTAATTTGCAGATCTACCCATGGGTGAATCAATCGAGGAGATTGCCGAATCTGTAGATGAGTTACGAGAGAAACTCGCCAATATGAAGAAGCTCATGAAAGAACGAACAGGCACAACGCTGGGAGAGATCAGTGCTCGGAAAAGAAAAGAAACTTCTAATATGATAGATGGCAATCTATTATCCTGGATTTTCTTATTGGCTTTTATAGGGATCTTGATCGTTAGCATCTATGCCTTCTATAATCTTTACATTGCAGTGCTAAAGAGATTCCCATCCCATCATACGGAATTATAAAAAGATTATGTGAAAACAAAAGGAGCAAAGCTTAAATTTTCGCAAATTTTCAACGATATAAAAAAATCGGCCTTGTTTAATTTTCCCATTCCATAAATATCCCAACAAGGGAAATTCCAATGCCGCTATGTTCCTTTTGCTACAAATTGTTTGACCGATATGTGTTCGATTTTTTTCAATAAAGAAACGATATTATAGAAAATTGTAGTGTATCGAAATAATTAATAATTAATAATTAAAAATAAAAAAATTTCTGAAAAACTTTTTAGAAAAAATAGATGATAATATTATATTCTTTTAACTAATTTTATATTTATTTCTAATAAAATTATAATTTGAAATCTCGATTGCGAAGATACAGTAAAATTGTTAAAAATTAAAAAGAGACAAAAAATTTTTCTAGATATTTAAGAAAATTAATAGCCAATTAATTACAAAATTTATTATCAAAACATTTAATAAAACAAAAAAATGCTATATATACATATTATTTAGTGATCAATAAATTGTAGAAAGATTCGTTAGACTTGATTCAAACATATTTCAGTATGATTGGTTCTTATATATTTAAAATTATCTTAACTATCTTAAGTATGTCTTAAGATACTAATATGGTTCTGAATATAGTAATTTATGACATTTTAAGAGTGTACATTAGGGTGGACCTTATTTATATTGGTGAAAAATGTTTTCCGAATTTTTTTCACGGCGTCCCCTACAGTTGTTCCATTTGGTGAAAAAAAAATTGTATAAAAGTTAAGCTTGATCGAAAAACAGAAAGATATGGCACAATCCTATTAAAGTTAAAACAAATATTTTTTTCACAAAAAGTGGGGAAATCCGATGAAAGGAATTCTGAATAAAGATTAAATGATTTTCTTAGTAAATATTGACCATGATAGTATGTTTTTTAATAAA